GGCGTGTCCCACAGCCCTCATCAGTGTTGGCTCGAGTGCAGAGTGCCTCTTGTCATAACCAGTACCAGATCTGTCACATACCAGATCTGTTACAGTCCACTAAATGCAGAAATGCATTACAGATTATCTTTTATATGTTGGCGTTAGCATTAGCCAAATACCCATAAATGTTTTGTTACCAGGACTCATCTATTAGTGAAAAGAAGGCCCTCAGCTGTTATTTTCATTATTATGTAATGAATTCAATGTTAAATTACTAAAATTACAGGGCATCAGGGCTGGGTATTAATATTATTTAAATCTCAAGTATGATTTTGGTTTCCAGTGATTATGAAAACATGATAATTGAGATAAAATGAACTAATTTCTGTTATAAAGCTCTCATTTTGCCTGGTGTTATAATTCAAGCACACGCCTTTACTTTACAGAGGTATGCTTTCACCCCACCCTAACAGCCCGAACTCACCGTCTCAGCTGAAGCCAAAATTATGGAAATTCAACCTTTAGTCAATGTGGTCTGTCTAGCGCCATGTAGGTGAACCTATGGAAAGCTGTCTTAGTCTCCAATCACCAATGGTTTCTGCTGTCAGTTGGCCTACAGTTTTGGCTCTTCATTGCTCTACTGGTTGCTGCTGCCTGAGAGTCTTTTTGCACCCATCTGAACCTGCAGACTTCCTGCAATGGAGCCTCGAGCTATACAGTCCTCGCAGCAGGAACAGTGAGGCATTTTATTTGATAAAATTGGAATTAATGACTAATTTTCACATTTTACAAACCCATCCAGTGGGCTGGATCAAACCTTTAGCAGGCCACTTTGACGATCCTCCTTTAGCAAGTGAATTGAAATTGTATTTGTAACTACATGTTAAACACGTCATAGTTGGTTACATTTCAAAGAAAACATGAAAAATTCATATTAGGAAGCCAAAAGCCTGAAAAGTAGTGATACAATCCTGAAAGCAGGCTCACTCCTGTTCTGCAGAGCTGTGTGTCAGTCCTCTCTAAAGTAGATGACTCTCAGCAGTAATAATTGCAATCAAGAGAATATTTACTGCTGCTTTCAGCAATGTGCTGCACGTGACAGAAGTAAACATGAGACATTGCCAGACAAGCTGAAAGTGTTCATATCAAGATGAATATTTCATATTCTGTTATGTAGTAAAGGGTATTTTTAGAGCTTGATAGCATCTCTCCAGTAGCTTATGAATTTTGAATGGCAGCTTTGAATATTTCACCAGTCGACTAGAATAGCCGGGGCTGGATGCAAGATATGACAGGCTGGGTATTTACTGAGTGGTGCAGTGACAGGTGATCGCGCGCTTCATTCTGCCTTGTCTTTTTATTAATGGTTGTCTTCTCCAATCATTCACTAATCGTCTTCCTGTCGCAGTTAAGTGTTGTTTTGATGGCATCACATGATATGATTTGCTCTAAATTAAATAATGATTTTAACAAATAAAAAAGTAAAATATTCTCTGGCTCTAGTGTCTTTGGATGTGAGGATTTGATGTTACTTGATGTTACTTAGTAAGGATGGTCTGAATTAGGTATGCACCAATCAGGTCCAATCAGTTCTGGGCTTATATGAATAGTGATTAAAATGGTAATTTGGGTGGTTAGTGCTGCACATTATTTTTTTTACATTGCTTAATCTCTCAAATTGTGCCAGGATAACAAAACAAATCTTCAATGTGCATCCATTCTGAAGTATTTCAGCTCTTCATTGTGGCATAAAATTGATAATATTAGCTAAATACACTCACACTTTGTTAGGCATACCTTTCTAATTCCAGCTTGGATCCTCGTTTGCCTCTTGAATTGCCTCAGTTCTTCTTTGTATAAGTTCAACATGGTGCTGGAAGGATTCCTGAGAGATTTTGGTTTGTACATATGATAGCTTCAAACAGTTGCTGAAGATTTGTCAGCTCCACATTCATGATGCCAATCTCCTGGTCCACCATATCCCAAAGGTGCTCTTTTTTTCACACCATTGTGAAAATGATGATTTTGTGGGAAAATCCAGGTAGTTCAGCAGTTTCTGAAATACTCAGACCAGCCTGTCTGACACCAACAAACCAATGCCATTTGACAGTTAACATTTGAATTGTTATACCTAATAAAGTAGCCAGTGACTATAGGTTGATAGTCATTATTTCATTTCCTATAGTAATGACAAACACACATGTGAAACAGGGTTTTGAAATCCCAATAATCCCTCATTTAATTATTAAAGTAGTTTTAAAAAGGTGCTAAGTCGGACATTCTGCTCCCATTCTCACAGGCAGTCATCAGCCCCCTGTTAATCCTACATGGTTTATGTGTCATTATACACCGCTTGAACTTCTGCTGCACCAGTTAAACCACAGTGACAGCCTGCACGACATTATCTTTGCTTTAATGAATCAACATTTTATTAAATGAAGTTTCTTTATGCTGAGCCAAGTGTGTCTGCCTGGCTGGGCGCTGTTCTCCATGTGTTGTCACCCATTACACCATCATTATGCATCCATCAGGCATGCGTCTGGAATGAGTGGACCCTCCACTCCTATCCTCCCTCCAGCAATGTAGCCTCAAACCTCAGCTATTGAAATTCCAAGATCAGCTTACACCGTTGCTATATGCTCTCTTTATAAAGCGCACGGTGGCAAATAGGAGTAATACAACTTCTCAAAGGAGCCTTTCAGACGACTCCAAAGCCAGAGTTTACATTCAGGGTGGACAGCTTAGCCTATGTACCATATTCCCACATTTCTGACTCAGGTGTTTGTCCGCACGTGCCAGTGACTGATTGATGATGTCTGCGCTCAGTTTCCACATGCGGGTGGTTTATGGCATTCTGGATGAATAGTGGTATCTTATGTACGGTGAATCCTGTTTCATTTTCATCGGGTTTTTTTGGTTTCTGAAGCCTAAACAGACCCTATAGAACCACATTTAATCACAAATCCTGTGTATGATGTGTTAAATCTGACCCAGTCACATCAAACTGCTCCCACAGTTAATCCCTGGTAGCATCTGCTACTGCTGTAGAGTCATTCACACCATTGCCATGCTACATGGTTAAAAATATATTGCTTCAATGAGATTTCTTCATGTCAGGTTCATCAGTACTGGTTGCAGTTGTACTGGAAATGGAACAAAGCAGATATGTGTGAAGTGGTGCATTATTCTGCATTATCCATCCATAATCTATATCCTCTTTGCCCTCCAGTGGGTCACGGGGGGTTAGTAGAAATCCCAGGTGACATTGGAAGAGAGTTTAAAGTCACCAATAATTTTGTGTAGGTATTTATTTATTTATTTTAAGGAATTTTGAGAATCACGTGGTTTGAGGACCATCTGTCCCAAAATCAGTGACAGAACGGTCATTGTTAAGGAATAACAGGACAAACTGGGTTGACTGTGAATAAACATCCAGTCTTCTCACAATTCACTTTTTAGTTCTTTAGAAGCAAATGTCAGCTGCATGTTATGGATTTTTTGCAAGCAATTTGAACAGCTGCAACTTGCGAATGTTTAGCGACTCTGCATGATTATTTATCACTGCAAACAAATTCTGCACATTCATCTGCAACTGGAAGCTTTTTGCTTTCTGTCTGAAGTCCTCGAGTAGTATGAGTTCTGTTCAACACTTGGATTTGAGTAGATTTTCTTTGCACAAATGAAAACTTATGATGGTTTAGCTCTTTATTAGCCCATTAATAGTTTTTGGCTACACAGGAAGTCTTGAAAAATTGACCAGTGTCCACAGAGGCTAGCCAACGGGTCCCATGTTGCTTGAAACAGCTGATCTGTCTGATCATTTTAACGCTTTTTTGTTATTATCCCAACTCGTTAAGATCATCACCTTGGTGCTCAACTCGTATTCTGTAAATCTGGATAGTCCTAGACTGAAAAAAGCAATAGTATAGTGTCAAGAGTTGAGAAACCCACTCTTTTATTCTTTGCAGGTAGTCAGCCTTAAAATCTTTATGATAATGCAACACAAAAACAGGGTTGTCAGAATCTGTAGATTGTTACTTTCTGGGATCTTATTATTGCGGTGTTGTGTATGACTTTCAGCTGGAGCTAAGAGGCTCAGAAGAGAGCTTGAGGCACACATTGTCTGTTTCAGCTGTGTCTAATTGGTAGATATGTGTGTCCTTCTGCATTTTGTGTGAAGCTTGTAGTGATTACTGTGTGCCTGTCTGATAAATTATTAAGTTATAACCAGTCAACCTTCTCGTTCCAGTCCCTTTAACTGGTGAGCTCCACAAACCCAGTGGAAAACACCCAGTGGTCTACCCATCTGCTTGTCTTTATTGCTTTATAGCTTTTAATGCAACCAAGTGACATGACTGAAACGCATATCCTGATTGCCCTGATTTTCCTAAAAAATAAAAAGTATATAGCTTGATTGTGTCTTACACGCTTGAGGTTACATAATCATTTACAAACATGGAATTCAGAAGAGCCAAAAATAGGGACATAAGTCTGAGATGTCTGAGAGTTAAGCAGGGCCATGTCAGACCTGCTTTGTTTGCATAGTAGCGGCGGCGGGTAAGATGATGCATGTTGACCCAGTGAGGCGGACTTCAAACAAAGGTTTATCGCACATCTCTGTCAGTCCGACAGGAGCATTGCTGTGTCTTCATTAACGCTCAGAGATGATCTGGGCCTCTTTGTCATCTCACCTCTCCTGAACCATATGGTTTCTCCCTGAGGGAAACTGCCTGAGTGAGAAGGAGAGATGTAATAATTAAACATCGGCAGCGATTTTTCTTTTTCATTCGAGAGGTGTGGGTCGGGCTGTCATCAGAAACATATTTGCTGCTTTTCTTTCTGTGTGAGAGCAGCTGCTGAGGAGTGAATGTGCAGACTACTGAATGCTTGATTGGCAGAAGCATTTGTCTGAAGGTGCCTGGGGACAATTGTCCAGATCAAGCAGGGCTCCTTCACAGGGGAGCTTGCTAATACACCAAGCTTATGCAAACCCCCCCACCCACACCCCTGCCACCCTCCTCCTCCTCCTCCTGCACCCAGGCTTTTGTCTTCAACTGTTAGTTTTTCCGTGAGTGTCCAACACATACTTCTCACTGCAGCCGACCTGAAGGAAATCCCCTGTTTTTTTTTTTCTTTCCTGGAAGTTTGAGGCTGTCATGCAATTTCTTCTCTGCTCCACACAGATGGTCTCCATAGCAAACTGTGGATTTTGATAATTGTTTTTGCCAGTGGAAGAGAAGCAATGCACTGGTTCATAAATATGTCGTGGGCATGACTCACAGGGACTTGGACTGGTAGATTTTGAGATGTTGCATCATGGCTTATGTTTGAATTGGATGCTTTTTAACATGAAAAGAAAGAAAGCTTGTGCTAACATCCTCCTCATGACCAAAGCATGCATGAGAAAAGTCCGCTGTTGTGTTGGTAGAGGATTTTTTAGCTTGAGGCTTTTGACTTTTGAAAATCGATTGCAAATGTATCAGCTTTTTAGCAGTCATGGACATGAATTGCCAGGTATTTATCATGTCAGTAAGCTCAAATTCACACGTAATGTTTTTTGATAGGAAGTAGGTAGAAGTGAGGCGTTACCATGGCAAACAAGGAAACAAAGATTAACAAGATGCATCTATTGATGTATGTGAACACAAACTTAAGCAATAAAAAGACGCTTATTTATGTTTTTGTGCAAGCTTCTCCTATTGTATGTTCTTATTTAACTCACTAAAGTATTTCTGATTTTTACTGCTTTAAGGACACTGTTTATACTATTTCTAACTGCAACAGCTTCCCTCACTTTCTTGCTTTGTCTTTATTTACTATCCCTTCCCTCCAGGAGAAAGAGGCTGGTTGTGCATGTACACCCAAACTCTGTCCTCCCTGGCAGATAGAGTGCACTAAAATTATATTATAACCCCTTATAAACAATCATGGCCTCATACACTCAGATTTGGGTACTTAACTGAGCTTAAAACAAGCTCAGTCTGCTTGGATATCTGCCTGATCAGCTCAGCAGCCTGTTACCTCCCCACAGTAGTAACTTGCAGGGTTCATACCCCTTCTGTACCCCTCTGAGAGCATTATGAAGAAGGGCTTTATGGGTGTGCAACAGTGTGGGTGCAGTCTGTCCCCTGTCCCTCATTAGCCAGGCCTTTGTTACAGTAAGCCATACCGCGCGGATCCCAGATGCAGCATGTCCAGATTAGATCTTACACCCGCCAGGAGTCTTGAAAAGCTACCCCTGAATCGAGCCTAATCCTCCTGCAAGACTTTCTCTTTTTTTCTGGCTCTCTGCACCACACACAGACACAAAAACACACACATTCACAGCCACAGATACATAATGGGTAACACGCACACATACACACACCAATTGGAGACTTCAAAACTACTTATTGTAGTTTTTGGAGCCTGGTCGGTGCCTTGTGTCTTTAATCCCCATCCAGAGATCCTGTCAGCTGCGCACAGACCACAGGCCTTTTCTCCTTTGTTATACAAATAAGAGCTGCAGATAATCATCTAATAAATCTGAGACTCCAAGATTTGAGTGGATTAAAATGAAGCAGCAATTCGTTTCCATTGTGTTGTGTCCCTTAGAAATATAAACATCTGATATGAGTTTAACAACTGACGAAACACAACTTTGGCTGTTAGATTTTGAGGATATTTCTGTTGTAAGAGCTAGCTTATTCCTTTACAAGTAAAAGAACAGGACGAGCTCCAGCTTGTTTTAGGCTATCCAAATCCAGAAATCCAAACTGAACTTGATCTGGTCTGGTCTGGTGTATAAGCATGTCACTAATGTGATTTCATCTTAAAGACTCATAAGTGGTCTTTAAAAATCCCGCACTAGTCCCTAAAACGCTTGGTTGTTTCTTCATCTATGCCTTTATTTCACCACAGCTGCAGTCTTTAAGTTGTCTTTGGCCTTACAAGTGATGTTGTGTGACACCACAAGGCCATTTGTAGAATTATCAGCAGGGGAGACTCCAGTACCTAATTTTCACCAGTATGGTGCCACTGCCAATGGTGAGCCAGTTTTTGTCCTTTTAGAACACCGCAGCATTTCAGGAATGTGTAGAGCTGAGCATTATGTAGCAGAGACTGGGCTTAACGCCGCTCACAGTTGTCAAAATAACAGCAAAGCTCTTGCTTTAGTCGTAACATCTTGTGCCAGTCTTCTCAGCAACACAACACCAGCACTAGATCCAGTTTTGGTGCTTTTTGAGAACCAGCCCAAGATGGCATTAGATGATTAGATTAGATGGTACTCTGCAAACATGCAAAGCTATAGACGACTACAGCTGTCAAAATCTGTCAAAATACAATCCAGAGTGAACTCTGACACTAACATGTCACAAGTGTGCCACAACAATGCAGAGTTATTATTTATTTATTTATTTTTAGAGGATATGACTGTGGAAAGATCTTTGAACCAAACATTTCAAACTCTATAGAAGTCATAGCAGTTTTCATGGGTGGATAACCAAAATAGACAAAATATACTTACTCATTAGTTTCATGGTACCAATTTTAGGACTAGCCTTTTGTTTTGTTTCAGAACGGGTTTTAGATTTAGAAGCAACAACACCAGACTGGTTAAAAATATGACCAGAACTAGTCTTTTTTTCTGTGTAATGGATGGATGCATGGAGTTCATGAATGGGCAACAACTCTGCAAGTCCAAACTGCAGTGTGTTGGGTTTAGGCAACAACAAGGGCAGTGACCAGCAACAATCAGTAAACCCTCTGTCTGATGGTCAGTTTTTCACAGTGCCACCCTCCACACCCACTGATAGAATTTCACAACCATCCGTGACTGGCCTCAGGTTGTTTCTCTCAGCTGGTCCAGGCTCGGGTTGTTGTTACTGCTTTTCTTGGGTTGACAGCATTGGACAATTTACACATTTGTGTTGTCTCATAAATTTCTTCAAAGTATTTTCGTGGTTGGTGTTAAAGAGCTGTTTTACTATGTGTTTGAACATGGGCAGCGCCCCATTAACCTGTTGCAGCTCTTCTCTGTTTAATAAACTGAATACTTTTGGTTTTTTGGCTGCCTGAAAGACACGATAAGGTTGACAGTTTTTCAGATTTCATGACATTTTATGAAGTTTATTTCGTGTTTTTTTTATTTAAAGTTAATGACATTTATTTTATTTCACTTTCTTTATAAACTAACAAAAACATAGGCTGTGCGCTACACAAAAGCCTGAGAAAGACTTGAGTCTTTAAGGCCTTGTCGCATTAATATTTTGGGGTTTTTTTTGTAGTATTAGACTGCAAAGGTTTGAGCTAAGTGTATTTTATACAGTTAAGTTACAACTACACAAACATGGAAAACACTGAATTAGTTTTTTTTTTTCTGAACAGATTTTTTCTTTGGTTGGCCGCCCGATGAATGTTGCCATGAAATGTCTCTGTAGACACAGTCCTTGCAGCAATTATGGTAATTCACTAATATGCCCTGAATTATCCCAGAAGCTGTGAATATTTCAGCCTACAATTCAATTTCCCCTAATAATGAAAAAAAAAAAAAAAACCAAAGCCAAATCCACAACTCAGTACTTTTTAAAGTTTTTACTACTCCTGTGTCAAACTTTTATATCCATATAAAAAGTTGTACCTATTATGGTCTTCCTTATTTTCTCTCAAATATTTGATTGTAATGCTGCACGCTCATATTGAAGATAACCAAAATTTCAAATGCTGAGTTAGGTGTATGTGCAAATAATCCCTGTGAGACAGTAAACACTCATTTTGAGGAGGCCGTTTGTTATACTCTTGGCTCTGCATGAAGACAATAAAGGCAGATATTCTCTGTGGTCGAGTCAGTCACACAGCTCTGGGCGTGACCTTAGAAACCCCACCCACCTACCGTTAAGACGTTTTGTTTGCAAGTGGGAGACAGTCAAACAAAAGTTTGATAAAAGGGAGAGGAACTAAAACAGCTTGCACTGAGGTTCACAGTAAGTATTTATAACTGTAACTATAAATCATGTAAAGCTACTTGAACTGAGTTCAATAAAAACATTTAGCTAGAAATTTGCATATCAGATCCCTTTTAAGTCCAATGTGAAGAAAATGATGATTTTTAACATCAAAGAAAGTCAAAGGAAATGATAAACAAACAGTTTTCATAGCTCAAGACGCAAAAAAGTGATAGAAAGATGAAGTTGATTTTATTTCAGCTTTATTTGATAGACACAGTTTAGAAAGGATAGAAAGGTGAGGGCAGAGATGCGGTAAAGGGCCGTAGGTCTGATTCGAACCTGGGCTGGCCACTCTCAGTCGTATGGCATGTGGTTGCCTGCTCCACGCAATGAGCTAAACCAGCACCAAGACAATTAATTAATTAATTAATTTTTGGACCATCCATGTAGAAATTGTTTGCAAAAAACAAACTAACATCCAAAACAAAAAGAAAACAAAAAAAAGCAAAGCAAGTGCTGATCAAAATGAACAGGATGGGAAAGAAAGCATGTAAAAGGACACTGTTGTAATTATTAAGATGTATGAAAGTTGCCATGTATACTTAATAATATCCTTAAACATGACATCCTATTTTTACACTCACATTCACCAATTTCAACTCAACTGCTAAACTCTGCAAAAGTTGAAAAAATAAAGTAACTTCCTGAGGCTGGAAAAGAGAATCTGTTACCATAACTGCACAAAAACACACAAAGAGAACAATTATGTAGTTATTTAGACAGCTAAAATGGATTATTTCAGTGGAGGAATGCAGGGGCTGCACCAAAGCCTAGTAAAGGAGAGATAAGAATTATTCTTTTAACTGTGAATCATGCACGGCTGTAACACATGACCCCTTTAGGTCCAGTTTGTGGCAAATCATCACCTTCTGTGTGTGGTAACATTAAAAGACATCAGGAGAAATGAGACGGACAGCCAGCGTCAAGCCTCAAATCAGCACTAGTTGCTGTTCCTCTTGATCACGGACACACACAAACCATGAAATCACACTGAGAACACCCGTTTCCAGTGGATGGCATTGTTGTGGTCAGGTATATTGCCGGGGTAACGGCATAATATTTCTGTGTGGCGTGTCTGGTGCTTTCTGTTTGCTTGGCACCAAGCGTAATTCCCAGTCAACACAAATTCATTTTTCTTATCATGTGTTTTAGATTTACAGGAATTCAGATACATATGATGTGGTTTGAAACCCTATAACATCCTTAAATGCATTAATAGAGGTAAGAAGTCTTGTTTGCCTTGAGACACAAGCGGTACCTCATGACTTACCCCCCATGTGTGTAACACACTGTATGCATCTTGCACATAACCATTCTTGTAAGACTTAATCCTTGTTTTGGCTTCCTCAAGTCAAGTGTCTCAGCTGCCTGTGTTTGGCGACTTCTATTTCTGCCGTCTTTTCCATACAGCATACCACATGCTATATCGAGCCGAGTGAATGTGGTAACAAGATGCTCATAACCAAACGCGGAGAAGGAACATTCCACGACTGGGTTCCTGATGTTGTTTTCATGGTCGCTGCTGTCTCGGATGGCAAATATTCCTCAGAATCAAAATAGGCCTGTATTTACATTTTCTCTCTCATTCTAAACGACTTTACACACCACGCTGGCTGTTCACTGATATGCATTAGCTGTTGCTAGAAGTGAACTGCTAATTTGTCCAGTCACAATGCCTCACTCCGGAGACACGCCGGGCTATTAAAGATGGCACCACTTTGTGTAAAGCGCACTCATTGAACATCGGAATCCTGAAGTTGCTGTTAAAGCGGCACAAATGCTCCAGAGAGTGCTTGGATGAAAAATGTGATTAAATATTAAGTTGATGTTTGGGCCGTGCTCTCTTCCGGAGAGATTTACTAAAAGGTATGAGAGCTGAGGTCATCCCAGACATCTCACTGCTCCTAAAATAAAAGGCAGTTGCTGAGCCTCTGTGGAGCTTGAGAGGTGGAAGGATTTGAGAGGTGTTCCCTTGGGGATGTATGAAGGCGTTGGCTGTAGGGTTGCAGAGTTTGGAGTTGAGGGTCTAATTGAGAACAAATTGTTCTGGGCAAAGAGGCGGGGTATCGCTGTCATGCTCAAGGTTATTTGGGGGTTTTATGGAACGCAACTAATGTTGAAAAGCTCAAATGCAGTTAGTGGTTCTTGTACCAGTTGTGTCCCCTCGTGTCTGCAGACAGAGTTTAAAATACCAGAGTGTGCATGCAGAAGACGTCACAGGTGAAGGTAGATAACCTTCTGTGACATGTAAGACCTCAAATTGTGTTTTTGTGGGATTTGTTTTGTCTGCACGCCTTTATTTATTGTGCTAAAGGTGCCTCACAGATGTTCTCAATGACTTGCTACTTCCAAGACGTCACGTGAAGTAATAATGGATTACGAGACTACCCGACAGTCCCTGGTTGAATTCCAGTCTAATCTGAGTGCATCTAATTCCCCTGCTGTCTTTCCCCACACTTTTCAGGAGGAAGCAGCTACAATGCTAACGCTGTAAAGTGATCTAAGAATCCCACAAACCTCTTGCTGCCCATTTCCTGGAACGAGTTGAAAGCTATATAATAACAGATGGGAAAGAGATCCATGCTTTTTGTTCAGTATATAAATTAATTCTAAAGTTCATCTGATTATTTCAGCAGTCGGAGAAGTCAGATAAAAGGGAATTTTAGAAATGACACTTGCTCGCTCTGTTTCCTCAGGTTCTGTTTCTTTATTCATGGAATAGTAGCAACAGAAACACCACATTAAAAAGGTTTTCTAAAGACACCTGTTATACTTTCACACATCACCTCCTATTATTTCCTGTTGTAACAGTGGATGCTCTTATTAAAGATGGTCAGCACTTGTACTAGTAAACACTGAGCCTAAGGCTTAGGCTTAAGACTGCAGTAAACACTGTGGTTCAGACAGGTTTTTTTCTTAGTCTTGGCTGTGTATGAACAATCCCTGAAAATCTTAAACTCTATTAACTTTATTCCGGCATCTGTCTTTTGGCTTTGGACAACAGCTGCTAACTCAGCCAGATTGTAGGCAAAATGTAGCCAGAAGCCTAACAGGGACATGCTGCAGATTAACGTTCGCTTTGTAGCTCTGCTTAACTGTATGGTTTCTGTTAAATAAGCAAATAAATAAAGGGGAAATATGCAGCAGTCACCGTGTGTTTGTGCAACTTCTGGTATTCTCTCCGACCACCGTGTGTGCCACCCAGGCATCAGCTCTTTGTAGTTGCCAGATGAGCTGCAGGCATGTAAAGGTGGGTGGATTATTATTAGTACATTTTTGTGGGTTATAGATTTCTCTGGACTATATATATTTCCTTATCTGCCTTAGGCCCACTTGCCTCCTTCCAAAGATGAAGTTGTTCATTTTTCCTGTCAGATAACTTGAAAAACTTTCAGAAACTTTAAATTTGAGAACATTTTTTCTTTCCTTTGACTTGTGTGCGCCTTTTGTTTTCTCCTTTTATTTGTTCTTATGATTTATTGATTGCCCTCGGCACGTGTTGGTGCATGCGCGAGTTGGCAAGCGCACAACTAAAAGTTTTAAGGGGGTTTGCTGTGGGAGAGAAGAGTGAGAGAGAGAGAGATGAAGGAGACTGGAAAGGAGGAGAATTCACTTCAGGCTGCCTGAAAGTGTGTGTGTGTCTGTGTGTGTGTGTGCATACTTCAAGGAGAGTTTTGTGTGGTAAGTGGGTGGGTGCGTCAGTTAGTCGGCCTGGGCTCTCTGCAGTGCGCTCAGCCGCTGTGCTCTCCTCTCGGCTGACTGGAAACATCATGTATCTCTTGGACGCTTATAGGAACAGCCTTGTTTCCCCAGACTGAGACCAGAACAGACCGAGGAAGAGAGACGCAGCAAAATGAGCTTTGCCAGAAACTTGAAGTAGAATATCCAGAAGACAAGAAGAGGTAACAGACACACAAACAGGGGCATTTTTTGAAGGCAGTTTTCATCTATTCGGTCTTGGCTATGCCATGCTGGCCCAGAGGAACGGGCTCCCTCCAGGCTGTAAGCCAGCTCACCTGAAGGATCACCCTGATCTACGGGATGTAGATGTGAAATCCCAGGGTTGTTGTTCTCTCTCTCCTTCCCCATCTTCCGGAGGATGCCCTTGGGCTCGACTAGCGGGTGTGGATGGCTGCTTGTCAGAGCCATACTGTCTTTGGTTCCAGCTTTTGGCCAGAGCCTACTGGGGCGAAGTGGAACTGGGGCTCACCAGTCCCAACCGCAACGTGTCCTGGGCTCGGCTTCGAGAAGCCTCCAGGAAGAACTGCGTCCGATCTCGGGTAAGGAGTGGGTGTGCATGTGCATGAGAGCATCCTGGAGAGCATCTTGGCAATTTGAGATTGTGAAGAGTGGAGCTGTGCTCGAGTTTTGAGGCGCTGGGGGATAACCAAACTCCCTAAAAAATGTGTTTAAGGCATATCTGGCAGAGGCATATAGGTTTACATAGGAAGCATCTGAGCGGGGAGGAGAGGTTAGGGGCAGCTACACTTTGTTGTACTGTCTGAGGAATTTTGTGTGCGTCATCCTGCTCCCCAACAGCAGGGTAGTCCTGTTTCACTGACCGATATCTCTGGTAATGTGAGTGTGTCTCTGTGTGTTTGGGTTAGGTTTCGTTTATTGTTATTGGTCCCTAGGGTAGATTCAGAATGACATTGTCAGGGGACAATATTGTTTTTGGTTCCATCTGCACCTCATATTTTCACGATTATTTTCTTAAATATAACCATGACAGCAGCCATTCTTTATTTTCTGTGGAGTGGGCTAAACCTTAGTGGAATGAAGTCAACCGTTGCGCTGCCAAATTAGGGAATTAAAGGCATATTTTCCTATGATAGAGTGAATAAGGATTACTAATGTTAGAGCCTGTGGGGAGAGAAGTTTGGAAAGAAAACGAAGACAGTATGAAAGCTGCAGAGTGTGACTCACACACTTTTTTTAAGAAAAGGAAAGAAAACTGAGTCCACAAGTAATGCCATTTAGATTTGGTCAAACTGCATATACATAAAGAAGCGGGAACAGGTTTGGAAATGTACTTTGATGTCTGTGTTGCCATATGGTACCAGAGCCTGCAGCAAGCCCTCAGCGTGCACATAATGGTGAGTGTTTTGATGAACAGATTGCATGCATAATTGATTAGTATTTATCAGGTAATTGTGAGCTTGTTTAGAACAGCTTTATAGCATTATACATTTCAAATATCTAGACAGTAATAGTTTCCCTTCTATCCTGCTTCTCTTTTTTCTATAATTCAGTAGTAAGAAAAATAAAGCTTTGCCATAGGCATTTAAGCCTAATAGCTCAACTATTGCATAATGCGAATTTAAATTTTAAACACGAAATCAAAACAAACAGCTGAGTTGCACTGCGTCAGCTCTTTTCCCTCTTCTCCTCTGGTTACATTATGGACTGAGGCTTACATCCAGCTCCACACCACTGGATATTGGTGGTGATTTCACCAGTCATACCATTAGGCCCACACCCATCCCACTCTCTGGAGGTTTCTACATGTGCTGCTCCCAGGCAGACAGGCAGGAGAGAGGAAAGAGGAACCAGAGAAACAATGTCTTTGTTTTGGATCCATACCTAAGCCGTATTTTGGTAGGAGAAGAGCCTGTGGAGAGATCTGGGTTGAGGCTGAAACTCTTGGCAGGCTCCCGCATCCTGGAACGACTATGGTAGTGTTAGCAGTAACCGCTAACGCACGCCCTGTGGTGCAGTGGTTCAGCTCCATCGTTACTTTGGTGATGGATGTGACAGGAGTCTCGCTGCTCAGACAACACCAGGAAAGATCGCTTATGCCGTCATACTGAGTCGCTGTGATTGAGACGATAAAATATTTCCTATTGCTTGAACAAGGTGCAATGTTAGTACTGTTGTAAAGGTTACAAAAATAGTTTGAAAATTTACTTTGGACTAAGCAAAAGATCATTACTTGTGATTTAATGCTTCATAGTTGATTTTAACACACCAAGCATTGGAAGAGAAGCTCATTTGTACTCTTTTACTCAAAAGTGCGGCTATTTCCTCCTCCATCAGTACTTTATTAATGGTATTGTGGGAAAATTTGAAAGATGAAAGGCTGATCGCTCATGGTGTTCAGCTCTTTCCCTGTGTCCTGTCTCATCATGAGGAGACAGAGCAACAGAGTTGCACCCACTCCGGGTGTCTGCATCTCTTTCAGTGGAAGGATGAGGAGAATGATGGACCTCCATCTCCTTTGCTTTTTTGATGGAGGCAGTCTTCAATCAGTCTAACACCTAAATCCAGTCCACTGCTCGTATTAGATGAGAAATAAATTACTTCACCCCTCCAGTATGTTGTGGTACTTTCTGCCACCAAATCTTCTTCAGTCCTCAATGGTTATTTTGCTATGTGGGCATGTAAATAAAGTTTTTCTGCAGCTGTGCATCCAAGAATTCTTACAAAAACTCTTGCATCAGACGAAATGATTTTATATCAGATAGACTTCTCTTGTAGATTAGAAATAACAGAAGTTCCAGCAATGTTGCAGCATGAACAGATGGCAGTAAGATAATTAAGCCTTATTTCCTTCCTGTAATGTGGCTATTCATTATGAACACAGTATTGATTCAGCCAAACACCGTGTGATATACTTAGTCGCTACTTTGGTTTCAATTGAGTCGAAATTGGAAAACAAGTAAATACTACTCAAATTTTCCCAGTAATATTCTCAGTGCTCCAAAAATGTAGTTTCACTTAATAGTCCAAAAGTTTAGGAATGGTTAAGGAATCGCAACAGATTACTAATTATTGAGTAATTAACTAATAATAACAATGATACTAACTAATAATGCACTATTAAAGCTAATAATGTTTAATAGTTTTTAGGACTTTGCTGTATGTTATGTTCATCTATATACATGCATATCTCCTTTTTTTTCCACATAATGCTCTTGAAAAATTTATTGGCTCACAAACCGATCACATTTCATCAACCTGCAACCCTAGATCTATAAGCCCAGATATGAACAACCACACAGCCTTTCTGCACATACACAGTTTTAATTTTCATCTTCAGAAAATGAGCATGGTGTTCAGTGACGCACTGTTATCATCTCGGCTACACTTTCTTCCCCCCCCCCCCTTATACAACGATTAAAGTGAGAGTTTTGCAGCTCATGTGCCACATGTGTTGTGTTACGTAGGCATAACTGTAATGTTACGCAACATGAGAGCTGCCAGCATTTAAAAAGGTTGTTTTGTTTTTTTTTATCTTGTGCTAGTCACAGTTGGTATGTAGAAGATAAGTCTGTCATCACGCAAGTATGTCAAATAGCCCTGCAAAGCCCCGAATGTGCAATAACTGAAGCCATATGTACTGTATGGCTGTGTGGAGGTTGAGGAAGCAGAAAAAGGCTTAAATGACAGTCCTGATTATTTTGACAGATACTGTGATCTCTGACATTAACCACAACCCAAGAACAAAATCTTTTTACTGTTTTTAGTCAGAATTTCAACTGTTTTAAACAAAAACATGTGCCCGAAATGAGGTCTTAATCAACAGCTTTCACAGAGTTTGATGAATTTCTCACCATTTTGGCAGAACGTATTGATAATTTTATCTTTGAGACATTTTGAGCTGGAGTGCAAAATGTCAATGAAGTCAAAGTTTAGAAAAGTCCATAAAACAAAACCAAAATAATCCCCTTACGAGCTTCAGGTGCTTTGGTGGAAGTAATCATAAAAATATGTAGCTGTTTGACTTCCCACAGATGTTATATTACAGATTTACTGAATGTTAATCATTCACTGCGATGGTGTTAATCTTCCAAAGTGTTTGTGATGAGAGGAACAAAGAAAGATATTCAACAGCTCTTTTTTCAGGTGGCAGTTATTTATGAAGTATTACTTAACATGAAAACACACTGAACTAACAGTGAACCCTCTTGTTGACTCTATCTTCCTGTTTCTGAAACCACAAAATGACCCGGTGTTATTCAGCTGGAACAACCTGCTCCTCTGTGATACCTGTGAAGAATCGCCAACAAGGGATTTCTCGTGTTTTTACATCAAGTTGATGAATAAGATCTGTGCATAGCCATGGGCAGTTTTTTTAAAAAGTAAAAACACACTTCTCTTTGTTTGACCAAAAACCACTTTGCTTTACACAATTATCAGGGGTGTTGTTAGCGGAGTGAGTGCTCTTTTATGTGGCTCTTAGTTTGTTCTGACTCTGAAATAGCAGATTTCATATCTGATAATGCAGAACAACATCTGCAGCAGGGATTTCCACTCATTTTTAGGGGTGAGGTTATGATCAATTATGCAATTTTTTTTGTTTAGTTTTCATGTTAAAAACAAATTCTCAGTCAAGCTATACTTACAATCTTAGACATTTAACGGGAACCTATTATCCTAATTCGTGCCTGTTTTTATTTTTGCACTCTACTAGTCTAGTTTTCTATTAGTGGTGCATCCCCTCAGCTCATTAACTGTTTGAAATAAGCTGTTTTAGTTCCTCTTCCTTTAAGCCACCTTTGTAGTGATTGGCTGGAATAAGTAAACAGCTCATTAACGACCTCGGAAAAAAGCGAAACCAGTGGTGCTGACGTCAGCTACCGAGCAAATTCCTATTTTAAGAAGAAAGTGAAACCATATCATTAACCTAACACTAGAAAATTAGTTTGTAAAACGTCAAGCTAATGTTTTAAAGACCTCCTTTCTAGTATTTATGTCCGGCTTCCACCTGCACTTTCTGTTCTGAAGATAAACACTCAAGTTCCTGTTTGTTTTTCCTCTTTTCAGGCCAAGCAGAAGGATGGGCGGGATCAGAGCGAGGCGTCAGCCGCCGCTTCTCCCGGAGTGGACGACGAGCCTTTTTCCTGGCCGGGGCCCAAGACGCTTCGCCTGCGCCGGACATCCCAGGGCTTCGGCTTCACACTGCGACACTTTATCGTCTACCCGCCTGAGTCTGCCGTCCACAACTCACTAAAGGTCAATGAATATCTCTGACCTCTCTGGTGACATTAATATATTAAAAAAAAAACTCCCAATACAACCAACCGAAGAAGGATCTCACTTAATTTAAAATAAAGATGCCTCCATAAAAGGTTATTGGTTGATCAAACTTGGGGATCTGATATCAGGCGTTTGGTATTTTTGAGGCATGTTAAACTTGGTTTCATATATAAACATTCAGGAGATCTTTTAGACTTTGTTTTAGCCTCTGTCATACTGCATCCACATTTTATTGGACAATATTGATATTAAAGACATTTTTAAAGTTTTATACTTGGAGGAACTTCAACTTCAGTGTTTTCATCCTTTTATTAGTCTTTTTTTTTATCTTTCTTTTACGTTAAATAGCTTTATGGTAGCCACACTGATTAGTGATCATCAAATTTGCGTGAGACTAGAAAAATACATAATCCCAGTTCTTTTAACTGCCAAGAAAATGCAGCTGGGTTTGTTTTAACACAGTCATATATGCAAATGATAGCACATTCTCTTTAAATTCAAAAGTTTTACATATTAGTAGATAAGAAAAAAATATGCGATTCCCAGCAAATCTTAAATTTATGGTATTACAACATCAGAAGAACAACACTACAGGATGTATCACACCCTGCCAAGCCAAAATGCAGTTTTATGTGGAAGGTGCAATAAGTAGCTGCCAGGAGTATTCAGGTGTGTAAACACAGTGCTGAAAGAGAAAAACATCTTAAAAACTAATTTTAAAGAATAAACCTTTGCTGCTCACCAACCTGGGCAGGCTTATGAGGCCATTTCCATACAATTTGAAGTCCATCATTCTATAGAGAGAAACCTACAGATGTAGGATAGAAATTCAACATTTAATACAGTTAGCAAATTTTCCCAAGATTGGACGTCCCGACATATTCACCCCAATGCTCAGAGAAACTACAAAAAACCCTAAAGCTGCATGTCAGACTCTGTAGGGCTCACTTTGGACAGCACACTGAACAAGTATGGATTGTTTGGAAGTGGCCAGAAGAAAACATCTTCTCTCTAAAGAGAACATGGCACAGCTTAGGTTTGCAAATTTGCTTCTGAGGAGACCACAAGACCTCTTGAACAATGTGGAGACAGAGCTCCGCGTTTGGGGAAAACCAACGGCAACATATCAACACAAATGCCCCATACCAACTGTCAAGCACAGAGGTGGAGAGGTGATGATTTAAGCTTGTTTTGCAGCCACAGGACCTGGATACTATTAAAAACTCCATGAAGCCCAACTCAGGTCATATTAAAAGATTCTCTCATGTCTTTTTTTAACTGGCACAGATGAAAAATGTCATATTTTCCCTCCAAAACGTCTGCTCTGGCCTTCTCCAAAATATAGATTAAGGGTTAAAGTTAGAGGTGCCAAATACGATGACTTAAACCTCAGAGGGCTAATCTTGTTCTTTTTAAAAAAATAATCAAATTAATAAAAATGTAACATTTTTGTTATTCTCCTGAAAGTTGTTGATTATTTTCTTTATCCAAGCCATAAAAGTGTTCCAACTGTGTTAAGAGGAAAAGATTTATTGGATTTATAAATGTATCGACAGTGTCTAAAATAAAAATGTGAAAAACAGTGTGCAGAAATGGCATGCTAAAAATAAAGCACATATCTTTCATACAAACTTTTGCCACTTTTAAAGTGTGGACAAAAGTCAAAGAGCTGCTTGGAATTAGTTTTCAGTTCGGCATCTGCTTTTGTAAGAGCGTTATGGAAAACTGGAAGCTCCGCCATCACAGACACCAACCTCACTGTGTTTTAGTTAAACTCTACAGCAGGGGTTTTAGCCATGCCTCACTTCTTTGATCCCACCTAGGAACTCTGCCAGCCATCCTCTAGATAACATCAGGACCAATCTGCCCTTTGGTATTAATCCAGTCGTTGCAGTGCTTCCGGCTCTGAATGGGCACAGACTAACATGGGGTAAAGGGCTCTGGCTGCACATGATAGGTCTCCTTTAATGGGAAAATGTGCCGATGTTTTGAGTCAGTTCACTCAAAGCTTATCATAGCATGCCTCTTATTAGTTTTTGTAAGTGATAATTCTGGATAAGTTGCGTTTACTTTCCTCTGAAGTCTATTTTGACAACCTCTTGTTTTTGCACAGAAGGATTTCCTACAAAGTCAGCATAGCATGTTCTGTTTATAGCTTTTGGCTTCGGTTCTGCATGTTGAAAGAGAAACTGTGGCATGACAGTTAGGATTTTCAGACTTTTATGAAACAAGAGAGATAGACAGATTCTCCCAGAGGTCTTCTTGGGTATCACAGTGTTGTTTCGGGCACTTTCAAGTCCAGTCTGGGTCTACTTGTTTTTTCTGTGATCTTGCTGTAACATTTTCAATATGGAGCTGGCATTAGAAAGAAAACTCGAGGCACTAATGTCGTCTCCCACACTTGGCAATTAGCACTTTTCTCTCTGTTCTTTTAGTTATGTCGGTGTAAAGAATTACAAGCTGTTTCGCAAGATTTCTCTTCCTTTTAGCTCAGTGCATAAGCATTCAGATTGAAACATTACATTTGACCATAACGAGCTCTTCTATTACATAACCTTAGCCGACAAGAGGACAGTTAAAAAGGAGCTCATGCCTGTACATCCATCACTTCTTCTCATTGTAATTAATTTTAGAGTCTTGGATTCGAGTTCTTGACTAATCGCAATGTGAGGATATTGGAGTTAGCTTGAAGAGGGTCAGGCCGTCTTAAGCAAAGCCTTGGGAGAGCAGGGTGACTTAGAGGGTACATGCAGAACATGTGTGTCACAGAGCGGAGGTGGATTAAAGCAGAAGTGTGTGGGCTCTGAAGGAAATAACAGTTTTATGTGTTAAATAAGTGGAAAAACACAAGCATGGCTATGAAATGTGTTTCCTTTAGTCTAAACTGTTTAAGAGATTGTTGTTGTAATCTTCACTTTCATTGGCAATCACTGTAGTCCCTCACCTAAAACTTCAGAAAAGGAAATGCTTCGACCGTGCACACAGCGTAAGACGTACCTGCACGCTTACTTTGGTTTCTCAGCTCTTGAGTCTATCATAGTAAGATTTGCCAGCGTTTTTGTGCTTCACAAGTAGTTCATTTTTGTTACTTTCATTTTTGGAAACGTTTGTGAGTAAACATGCGGTGTGGTGATACGTTGAAGTTTTCCGAGCACCTGCTATAAGTCCAACAACCACAGTTTGATGCTACACTTGCGTTCCCCACAACCCACATGATGTCTGTGTACACATTTCCATTTTAGCATCACAGAACAAAAACAAAAAGGCACCATCGTATGGTGGTATTCAGCTCTGTGCTTCATTACACAAAACTGTATTTATAAGCTGAATTCTCACGAAAGCATATTAGCATATTAGATATAGGCTAATATTTAGCATAGGATGGGTATTGATGATTGACATGAGAAATGATCTGCATTTGTGTTTACAGAGTCTTTCTTGGCTTCTCCGAATGAAATGCAGTGGAGATATATGCCAATATAAAAGAATATTAAGAAATAATCAACAGAGGAAAATGCTGATGCTTATTTTCTCTTTTTTCTTTCCTCTACCAGGATGAAGAAAATGGCAGCAGAGGTAAGTCAGAGAGTATATTATCAAATTCTGCATGCATTAGATGTGCACTGTGAGCTGGACCTCAGGTGTTGCATGAGGGAGATGCACACAAACCATTTCCTTGCAGCTCTCCATCACAAGCCCCCTTGAATGATTATCTAATTAGGATTGACAGTCCATTACTCTAATGTGTTCTTGCTTTGCGTGGATAGAATTAATGCATTTTCAAGTCTTTGTTAGAGCATCACATTAACACTAGGAGTTGAATCTCATTGAGTGCCTTATAAAAGCACAGTTTTCACCCAGGAGTGGTTGTAAAACATTTAGAAAAACAACATGTTAAAGGCGAAGGTGTCTTTCCTGCACGCTGTGTGGCAGTAGGGTGGCTTTGTGCTGCACTTTTGCATTTCAAGCCTTCACTCTTTAGAGGGGCAGTCAGAGCTGCATGTGCCGTTGGCTTGGCAAGACCTCAGCATTCCTTGGAGCATCCGGCTTGTCATTCCAGTCCCTCAGTATGCTGCTCACGTCTGCAGCCCAGCATGAATGCAGGAGGGTCGCTTTGCTGCTCTTCATCAAAAGCCTTCCTAAGCAGGCCTTGTCTGTATATAGAAACACAATGCTTGTTTACATGGACTCCTATTGTTACACACAGACAGGACAGCTACAGCGCACTCTTAAAGAAATAATCCAAAGCATTTTTATTGCTGCACATATCTGTGTTTTTCTAAGACATCAGTTTATTTAGTCTTCTGTATTTACTCATCTAAGATTTCCTTTTAAAAACAAAGTTGTGTATTTTTAAACTGAAGTAAACATGGAAATTTGAGAAGATAACCACAATTAGATGTTTGTTTAGCTTGCAGTGACCCTAAAGCCTTGCCAGACATGTTTCAGTAAACCATTAAGGCATGAGCGGAAAGAGAAAGTGAAAAATCCAGGGTTAGGCTTTTTATAAATATGACTCTTAAATGCCTCTCAGTGGGAAATTGTGAGATTCCTGCAAGCGACCTTCATCATCTCTCTTTGCCCGTGGTGTCACATTCCTCATGCTACCCCCTCCCTACCCAGTTTAACCACTACATGCTTATCCATCCTCATCTAAAGCAGGCCTCCAAGTATTTAACACGCACGTGGGGTCTTCGCTTTGGCAAAAGGAAACCCCTTAGGGAGTAAGTGTCTGCACATTCTTTGCATGGCAGTATTATAGTTTATGAACTTTAATTTCTTTGTGTGAATTTAGCTCAAGTGCGTTAGAGCAATTCCTGTTAAAACTCACTAGATGAAGAATAATGATTCTGGTCTTGAGAGCCTCTCTCCTGCTGAGCAGGAAGCCTCTTAGCTCCTCATACTAAATTCCTTTTTGTGTCTCAGAGGGCAGTGTTGATGATGCTGAAGGGTCCTAGATGTATGATATCAGGGACATCAGGGACCTCCCTGTGAGGCCTCTACAATAAGCACATAATGACTTATAAAATATTGATGTTGTGGGTTCTTAGACTGTAGTTATATACTTAAAGGCAATTTCTTCTTCTTATTATTATTACTATTATTACCAGTTGTAGGAATAGTAGTAGAAATTGCCTATTATGTGTTTCTATCCGAGGTCTGACATTGATTTGATGAACAGCAATCATTGTAATGCACCAGTCTGAAAGTGTTTTTTGAAGCTGCCGCATGCTTGTGTTTGTTTGTGGATTTGATTTCTTGTTGACGTGTTTAAACACTTCTCGCTATCGTGACAGACAGAGCAACCTTTGATGGTCCTGTTTTAGAGCCAGTAAGAAGCTGAATAAGATGAAAGAAGCAAAGGTAAAACGCTTTTAAGCTGACTGGGAAATTGCTTCTCGACATGGAGCTAGATATTTGAATGATAAAAGCTGACTGTGTTCAAATGGTGGAGGAGACCGGCAGTTAATTATAGGGTTGGTTATGTGTGTCACCAGATACTCTATGTTGAGGCAAGACGCTGAACACTATACTGGTGTGGACAACAGGACTCAAATTTATTGTAACGACTTCCTCTCAAATGCAGAGTTCTTGGGACTGTTTGTATCAGAAGCTTGTTTAAATTTTACACGTGGGTAGAAAAAAAAAGTCATTTAGCAAAAACTAGGCTTTAAAAATTATGTTAAATTCTAACATTAGTTAGTTTCGTAATAAGCTGTAATGTTGAACGTCTACACTAGTCTAGTTTTTTTGCTAATAACAGTCTCCCCATCAGGATGTCTGTGGAGTCTCAAAATGTAAGGTCTTATTAGTCTACAATTGAATATTACTGTTTGGATAAAAAAATATTTAAAATGCCACAGACTTTGCTATGACAATAAATACTGTACTGATAAATTAGATTTCTTGCATTTCTCAGTCTTTGTAAAGAACTGGTCTGGTAAACCATCTCCAATTGAGTTTTATAATGAACAGTTAGCCCCCAGTTAGTCTCTTGTCCCACAGATGTACTCCATCTGCAACTAAATGTCCTTTTACGTCCCAGTCACATAGGCCTAGAAACTGGTTAATGCAGTGGTTCCCAACCTTTTGGAGCCACGGCACATATTTCACACTAGAAAAATTACCAAACAAAAATGTCACAAAAAGCATATTGATAATTTTACCCACGCACCAGACAGCGGTACCTTTTTGAGCTTTTTTCTGACCACTACTCATGCTAGGGCCTTCATCTGGGTGGGAATTTTCTCCAGGGCCCAGGCCAGATTGACTACTTTTTCATTTCAAATATTTATCTGTTGCTATTATGCACTGTGTCATCTCATAAAAGCATGACTATTATGTAATATCTTCTTCCTCTTCTTCTGTGTTACTGGCAGTTGACAACCCATTTAATTAGAGCAGGTAGTTGTACTGCCTCTAGTGGAAGACAATATAATTGTTTTGCCCGTTACTCTCGCCAATCGCTTAGAATACGAATCAGGTGGAACCAGATACTCTTCCATGGCACACTTGATCATTTCTCGCAGCACTCACAGCAATGTGTTCAACAGGATCCAGGAAGCATCCAGATTATACATTTTTCCCTAGCGACCAGGTTATCACCAACCAGTTTGTAGGCTTGTGGGATTAAAACTGCTCTTATAAAAATAACAAACGATCTTCTTATGGCAGCTGATTCTGGTCTCCTCTCCATCCTTATTCTCCTTGAGTGCAGCCTTTGACACCATATCTCATCCCATTCTTCTTAGCAGATTAGCTTCTCTTGGTCTCTCTCATACTCCATTAGCCTGGTTTAAATCATACCTGTCTGACCGCACTCAGTTCGTTCAATTAAAATCCTTCACTTCTCAGCCTTCTCCTCTATCTACTGGGGTGCCCAGGGATCTGTCCTCGGGCCCCTCCTTTTCATGATTTACCTTCGCCCACTCGGACACATTTTTTGTAAATATAACATTCAGTTCCACTGCTATGCCGATGACACCCAGCTTTACCTCTCTACCAAACCCGATTCTACTCTTCCTCCACCCTCCCTCACCCTCTGCTTAGCTGAACTCAATTCCTGGTTCTCCTCCAACTTCCTTAAACTCAACAGCAATAAATCAGAACTTCTCCTGGTCGGCACTAAACGACTGCTATCCAGAATTAACGATTTCTCTCTCACTATCAGTAATTCCGTTGGTCCCTAGCTCTCCCTCTGTGAAAAGCTTGGGTGTCATTCTCGATAGCACATTATCCTTTAATTCACATATCAATAATGTCACACGTGCAGCATATTTTCAACTCCGTAAAATCAATCGCCTCCGCCCTTTCCTCACTCCTCATGCCACTGCCATTCTCGTCCATAATCTTGTTATCTCTCAAATTGATTACTGTAACTCACTATTATTTGGCCTTACACAAAAATCCATTAATAAGCTCCAACGTGTCCAGAACTCTGCTGCCCGTATTATTACTAGAACTTCCTCTACCCACCACATCTCCCCAATCCTGAAGCAGCTACACTGGCTCCCGGTTAAATATCGCATCCATTTTAAAATAATCCTTTATACATTTAAGGCTATTCATTCTCTCTCTCCACCATACCTCTCTGATTTAGTACAGATGAATTTCCCATCCCGGTGCCTCAGATCTTCATCTTCTCTTTCTCTCCTTCCGCTCGTCTGATTACAATGGGGGGCGGGGCTTTTAGTTGCTCTGCCCCTCGACTTTGGAATTCCTTACCCCCTGACCTCAGAAATATTAGTTCATTCCCTCTTTTTAAGTCCATCCTCAAAACTCATCTGTTTAAAATTGCTTATGTTTAAAGCTCTGTATGCTCCTAACTTGTATCTGTTATTCTTATTATTGTGTATATTTCCAGTTTTTGTGTTTTTATTTGTTGTACAGTGTCCTTGGGTGCTTTCAAAGGCGCGATTTTTAAATAAAATGTATTATTATTGTTATTATTATTGAGGCCTTATGCTCTGTAACCTCAGTTAGCAGCTCGATTATATCAATGTTGTATTTGGGACCTGGTAAACGACTGATGCCACATTCCAGATATCTTGGAACTTGGATGCCAGAACTTGGTAGTGACATCACACCTGAGTTTATTTTAAAAGCAACCCTTTAAAATAAAGTAGAGGGCATTGTCCACTGTTTAAGTCAGTCGTGGATGGCTTGGCTTTCTTTGACAAAAATAAATAAATAAAATGCTGAAATGAGTCACTAAATGACATCTATATATTTTAGCTTTTGATCCTACAAAATATTACACAGTCTTTTCCAGAAGGAGATGTTTCCTCAATTTCCTAATAATCTGTTATTTGCTGTATGTCATAAAATAGCATGCAGGCAGAGAACTAAGAAGGATGAGTGCAATAAAAGACTTTGGCATGTGTTTGTGCTTCTAAACATTCGGCTTTGGAATTATTACTCACTGATGTGTTCAAATTGTGGATGTTGCTATGTGACAACCACTGATCACTATCATAGCAAACGACATACGCTCAAAAACACTCATAGCATCATCGAAAAACCATGTGAAACCCAGACAGATAATCCGTCCCATGTGCTTGGTTGTTTTAATGTTT